GGGATAGGCGCTTCATTCCACTACAACATTCAGCTACCATTACAGTCCCAATGCCTTGTAGGCTAGGCTGTTTAGCCAACGCATCCGGGTAGAGCCACACAACTGAACCTCTATATACCACACTGCGTTGTGGGTCAGACTACTGAGTGTAAGGCTAGAAGCCGGACACCTCTAACAAAAACCCTCTCTCGGAATTGGCAGCCGGAGTGTATTATCTACCCTCTCGACCCCGTCAGCAACTCTTCTTCTCCTCTAACCTTATCACTCTCTTCTCCTCCGTCTGTTGCGCAAGGGACTGCCACTGACCTCGCAACTGAAGCTATCAAACCAAGGTTCACATTTTGCAATGATTCATCTAATGTCTAATGTTCAGATCGGCCAACAGGCAGGACGAATTCTCACAGTCCACTCCCTTGGTATTGGTGTGGGCTGCGTCTCCAAACCACATACACAATAACCTCGTGGCGAATCTTCAACTTCCTGGTTCCGAATCTGCTGACAAGGACTACACGCTCCCCGTCTCTGGCGATACTGATTCAATGACTCAAGATTATGATGATGACGGTATTGCCCCCAGCTGTAATACTGAAGGCGATCTACTCGACTGGATACCGCTGAGCAGCCGCATGTAGGCTGTTCGCCTTCGATTACCTATTGGGGACAATGAGAACCGTCTGAGGACAAGGTGCTTTTTCAGTGATTCTGTTTACGCCCCCACTGACTGCAGTTTGCAAAGTATGAAGGACCACTTCTATCCTCAGCAAGAACTACTAATATTGTGATTGTTTCTGATGACATTGACGCCCAAAGAGGTCGCCTTTCGGACTCTGAACAACACCTGGAAGGTTGTTTTGGGGTGCATGCACCCCGAACAGAGTGTGGTGATCGATTCGTACAATCATGTCCCGTTTACAATCTGTATATTGGCCGCACTGCTTTCCAGCACTAACGTTCACATCGTGTCACATGTGCACAACGAACTCCTCTGTGACCTGGACCCAAATTGACCATACTACCGTAAGCCACAGATGGCACTCTTCAGTTCAAGACTGTCGGTCAATTTGGAGTACGTGCCTGCATTCCAACCATGCTCTAGGGTGCGCACGCCCGGCACTTACTATTCCTGCTTCAAAGAAGCACCCGACATCTAGGCCACGCCATTGCAACTTGAACTCGCTGTCAGCAGTCCGACGGTATCAGGACGAACGTCCCGCCAATGGTTAGGGATGAATGGGGTTGCTGAGCTCTAATCCCATTAGAATCGTCTCAAATGAGTCAAGGCAAATGGTTTTGGCATTGCCAGACATGTCGGCTTCCACGGCACCTCCCAGTTCACGTACCACTGCCATGACACATATATATGGGATACCAAATGACTCTTTACTCCAGACGTACCTGCAGCATCGTGGCATGCGGTACACCTCAATCATGATTTGGGAGGTGTTTAGCCTCGCTCGACAAACAATATCAGCAACGATTGCCCGCCGTGAAGAGAGTTCCACTCAATCTCCTGTCTTCGCTGCCTTATGCCTCGTTATTCCGCGTTTGCGTCATTGAATGCTCTGAGCTTGCAACCAAGGCTGCCTGCGCCCTACCCGTGGCCCATCCATCACCGCTGTGCGCCGTTGGTACACTTGGATTGCCCCATACGAGCTCCTTATATTTATTGTCCCCAATATGATTGGTGCTCACAATGTTGACTTGCCGCTGCTTCTCCTTTTGAACTCGTCCCCATCTTACCGCGTAACTTGTTGGACCTCTGCGCAGCGCGGATACTACGGTTAGGTAAATATACGGTACAACTCAACAGCGTCTAGTTCGCTCTACGCACAATGACACCAGGGGGCACAAGCATGCGCCATCCGGCGGAGGTTAAGGCCAGCATATTGCACACCTATAAAGAAGGTGATGACTGGAAGCAGGTTGCATCAGTGATAACTTGTCGAAGTCGGATTAAAACCTTAGAGTCAAACGAACCAAAGGGAAAACGCGGCGGGGCACGTCGAAAGTCACTGACTGATATTCACGTGCAATTTCTGTTACAATTACCAGAAGTGGAGCCTACGAATGTCTTCTTTTCCAATTGAAAGCGGAGTTCATTGTTGAGGTGAGCGTCAGAACAGTGAAAGTCGCCTCATTACCGGAGTCGATTATGCTTGAGAATAAGCAGCGAAGGAAATCTTAGGTTTTCCAGCTCATGAGCTTGGAAGCTGTAGGGTAGTAAGCAGTTTGGATTGATGAAACGAATTTCATTGTGCTTTGTTGTCGTACGAGGGGACGTTGAACAAGTGCCAGACGTGCGCAATGCACTGTAGAAAGCACTCGTGGACAAAATATACACGGTCTCAGCGCAAGGACTGCAGCTGGACCTTTAGGATATACACTCTTAAGGGGAGTCATAACAAAGAAAGTGTGTACGGTGATTTCGGCCAATACTTGATGCCAACGGCACCACTGTTACTGATAGGTTTTTGCTGATATGGGACAACGCACCATGCTACACGGATCTGGAACGTGTGTTCCAAGAGGAACGTTACCAATCCTGGAAACTCTTGCGACTTGCACCATATTCGCTTTCATTGAACCCAATAGAACTTATCAAGATAAACGTGGAACAGACCATGCGGCGTCGATATTCCGGGATTCTCCGAGGAGATCCAGCTGGGGCGCTGAGTACAAGAGTATGGAGGATCCATTTCATTGAGCAGCTTGTATCAGAAGCACAGCCTGTGCCATTGTGGACAAATGGTGAAACATGTATGTGCGAAGTACGCGCGTGCAATACACTTCATGGATCTGTAAGCAACTATGATGTCAATGATATACTTGCTTTTATCTTTTATCAACATTTTACTTGGAAACCAAGTGAGGTTGTCTTTTGCATTACTTTTCTTTACTTTGAGCAACACCGCGACGTACTGCTGGCAACCGTAATCTGGGAAGCTATACTACTGTGATTTTACTCCGTTGACGCGACTGTCGCATCTCAGCTGCTGATAAACCCTAGCAATTACCATGGCGGCTGCAGGGCTTGCGGTGTTAGCGGGCCACGCGTTAACAGTCGCTTTAATAAGGAACTGAGAGTCTTCGATATCGCGGAACCATTCAGCACGCAAGTGCAACTACCATGAGCAGGAGCTTAGACTTTACTTCGCTGAATGCTGCATTGAGAAACGCAAATAACTAAGTAGAAGTCATCCGATGAGGCAATTAGAGGACGGCCAGTGGATAGTTACTACCTAGGGTCAAACAGAACCCATGGTTGTGGTATCAAGCACACTACCTTTACCAACTACAGTACAGTTATGTAATTGTGGCATATTGACTCGGATTTCTACCAACCACGCGTAGGCGCTGCGCCAGTCTGCGGTGTACAAACACAACCCTTCCTAATGTAATTGAATGCAGAGCTGCACATGCAATGTGTCACTAACCCATTAACCGTTCCACAGTTGCTGCAGTGCTTTCCGCAGATGTCATGGCCGCACATAGCGCATTGCAGTGAATATGTCAATACTATCCTCATCCGTCAAACGGATGATGCCTTACACTCAACTTTTTGACAGGTAACTCGGTAGCACCCCATGTCATGACACGCCCCATGTTCTGCTCGCACCGTCCAGGGATAGCGCGCGCAGAAAACCAGGTACATACATTGGTAAATGTCTGCAAGTGCGTTCACTTCGTAAGCACAATGAGAACCATGGGGCAAGGATATGAAATATCCAGGAGCAGGCTCAGTCGAACATCGGCATAATAATGGCAACACGCTAGTGCAACCTCGGGCGCCCTATTAAGCACGTCACCCGATCACGGTGAGGATGCCAATGTGCAGCACGCGCGCACCCAATCTGATTCGAATCGCCACATCCGTTAGGCGCGGACCTTGCAACATTACGCTCAGTGAACATCTCACACTCCAAAACGCGCCGCGGTCCACAAGCTGTCACCACCCCTCTGGCGCCACTGGCCCAAATTCAATGCCAGCAGAGCCTCGACAACGGTATATGTGAGCGAGATTTATGTTATTAGTCCCAATGACCAAGTCATTCGGAATCAGTCATGTGGGTGCCTAGCAGTATATGGACAACTCACCGATGACGTGCGCGGACACACTGCACAATCAAATTTCATGTAGAAATGCAGATACCTGCAAGGTTACATGCCACAGCATCAACTACCACTCACCATGATCACGCGTGACCGCTAACCCCAGGTGGTGCCACGTGGATTCTATGTGTATGCCCCTAGCATGCGTGGAGTTCCAGTGCATCCAATCGTGCCTGTATACGAGTACCGACTGCAACTAGGCACTCACCAAATCGTACGCTATCTGCGCTACATCCTACCATGCCGCAGATCGGTTCAAGCGTCCTCTAGTAACCCGTGTCGTAAACTAGCATGATATGCCATGGGTTGATTTTTGATTGGTCACTAAACGAGTGGTGCGCGCTTTGGAGCGTTCGCGCCCCCTAGGATGATATTTGATTGTGTTAATGACTATCGTGAAAGTTGTATGGATGAATCAGATTTCCTTAAGGAGGAGGAGGATACAAGTAAGTAAGAAGGATGTAGCATGCAAAAAACTGACGGAGGCTTAGTCGGTGCGAGAAATGCTGAAATCATGCAGGTTGATCCCGCGATTACCCACGCCTGTTGTTTTTGTCGTTATTGTTGTTGTTACTCTTGTTTCTGTTGGTTTTGTTGAATACCATTTTTGGTGTGTCGCGGTCCTGATGTGGATGGTGCTCTTTCACGAATCTCATGCTACGAACGCATGCTTGCACCCCCATTGTTTCAACAACTTCCGTTTCGTTGTCTGGCTACTCCGATTCCTGTTGTGGTGTGGTGATTCATGTCAACCACGCGTAACTCTGTTATATGCTAGTCGTGGCACACCCCTTTTGTTTATTTCCCATCAGCTTAAACAGCGCCATTTAATTTGGGCGTCAACTTTCATGTAAGGATGTATATTCTGCAATGCCCTCCTGTATTCTCAGGTGCAAGCTTGGACATTACGGACTCATGTCAAACGATCCCCTTGGATGCAAACCGTGCGTCTGTTCCCTCCACTCGTCCGAGTGTGCCTTGGATACCACATCGCTTGCCGTTGGGGTCAGTGCAGAACGTAAGCATTGTTATCGTATCTATCCTATTGTCCTCCGAACCTTTCATCGGCAATTTCGGCAATTTGAGTGTTTTTAAATACCACTTGAATGAATATCAGCTGGGTTTCGGGTGACTGAAGCCACCCGTCACGAGCTGACCACGCGAATATGTGATCCTACAAGATTAGGTGCTGCTCGAAATCTCTGGCTCCACACTGTTACGTACTTTTTGAAACTTCCTATTATCTATAAAGGCGACATCGTGCCAACCGTGGCCATCCTTCCTTACAAATCTCTCTGTAGCTCTGTCTTCTAACTCCTGTGTTTCCATCCTGCACAACGTAAAGGAGAGGCACAGTTTAACACCGCTGAGGTTGTACCAGTATGTTCTGCTATAAATATCGCCCAATTTAGTTTTTCCAAACTTTCGGTCCTAAAAACCTACCCGTTGGATTCTTACTTAAAGCCCCTGATTAGTTCACCTGATTTCTGATTATGGAAAGTAAACACCTACCAAGAAGCTTAACTGACTACTATCATATAGCGACTTATATTCGCTACCGTCACGAGGTATCGAGGCGTCCTTACGAATCATTAGTCTATTGCTGGTAGCAATATGCAGATTAGTAAAAGTGAGTCCAGTGATCCTCTGACTTCGCGTTTTGATTCGCAGCTCATTCGAAGAAACTATACCACGTAAACGACAAGTGAAGCCAGTTAGACTGGTTGAGGGACTCTTCATTTCTTTTAATGCATTTGAACGGCGTTTTGACGCAACGTTTTCTGATGAATTTTTCCTAGTTACCGACTGTATCTTCTTCCGCGAAGTTGTACTATCCTGCCTAGCAACATTCCGATTCCCTATTGGATTGGGGATAATGGACCGTTGAGTGGAGATGGAAGATCCCGTAACCGTGGTATTGCTGTTCCAAACGCGAAGACCGTGTTTACTGGCGATTCTTAGAGTACATATAAGAGTGGCGCTAGTGGTCTTAGGGTTTATGGCCAAGTGGTAGGCATCAATAAGGAACACGCTGGTAATGGTTGGCGGCATCCGTGTCGTCATTTGACTGTCATCGCAGCCACCACAGAACGCCTGCGCCTAGACAGGGGTCATGGGTGGCTTGCGCAGTACTACCCATAGCTCCATCCACATACCCCATATCCAGGGTAAATCCGAAGGAATCAGACCGGGAGGCATGTGGATGGGAGCCACGTTTCATCAACGGAGCCGGCCCACACTCCTTCAATATGAACAGCGGCAGCATTCCTGTCTAATTGAGCAATAATGTGTGTACCAGACGTACACAAGACAGTGGCTGAGCCGTAGCTTGCTCCTCACTGGATGGAACCGCTCTTTTAACTTGGCAGGGTCACCATGTTCGTGCACCCAGCCTTCCGAAGCAATATTGACTCTCACCTGGAGCCCGTATAATCGAGGTAGCGGTTTTTCTACAGGTAGACACCTTCTCGGCATTCCCGTCAAGCGCAGCCACACCAGGGATATGAGTCAACCTACGAACACCTGAAATGTAAGAATATTTACGCGGACGCAGACGTGCAGGTCACCTGCGACGAGGATATAGCAAACGTGCCACATCGGCCGCAATAATGACCTGGATTAGTAAATGGAATCACAAGAAACATACCTATCAAGCGATGCGCTGATGATACTGACTTATTCAGTTTGTTTGTCGCCCCTTCGATACTGGTGCTACAGCACCATGCGCTTGACGCCAACGGACCATACCTTCTCAGTCAATTGTATCCATAACGCGTTCGAATTCCTCTTTAAGGGAATCGTGTTCATCCTTAGATCTCTCATGCTGGTCTTAGCGCTCTCAAGTGGCATCCGATGGGCGCAAATGCTCCTAAAAAAGCAAACTGTTCGTTGGGCGACTAATCCCAGTCAGCCGATATTCTAACGTATGAGTACACATAGTGGGGTGCTATTGGCTGTTTTCGGATTTGTCGTTCAATGAACAGTAGTAGTTAGGGTCGTTTGCGTTCGTTGGATGCAGCCAACTTGATAGCCTTAGAGACAATCTCGAGAGCTTGATGGGGGAACATGATTTCCTTAAAGAGAAGATTGGAAGCCGTATGAATGCAGTCGATTGAGAAGAGGTATAGACTTCATCGGCGCCTGTCGCACCCGTAACCGGCGTTTCCCTTCCTTATGAGGCAACCTTTTCCTGTGCACTTGCTCAAACGCATTCTTGATGTAGGCACGCCATTGGCGATGATCTAATGTCTTTGCTTCCCAACACCTAAAGTCAGCATTAGTTCTTGGTCATGTCCTACGCAGGAGATACCGTTGATGGAACCAGCATAGTCGACGTTTATATGAAACCAAGTTTTCTCTGTCGGTTATCAGGGCCATCCTGGCTGCTTGTTGGCAGTGTGGGAGACGGCAAACAAGCCCTTCCACGTTGCCGCCGACACCGGGTTAGTTAACAAGCCCGCTAGCGATTTGTTTTATTCTGTTGTCACCAGGGTGTACAGAAAGGAATTTGAGGAGCAAGTTTTGACGAAGGTGGGTTGGAACAACGACCCTATCAGCTATCATGTGAAAGTGATCTACGATGGGCAGTGCTATGATGTCGAGAGAACTACTTGCGTTCACCGAATAACGCAATAATAGGCAGTATCTGCGGACATGTTTACGGCCTAGTGAAGGATAGAGTGCAGCTCGGTAAGGCGACGAATCTCAGTGCCACTGACAGAAAGGTTTTGGATCATTTTCGAAACTTGATGGCACGCACGATCCACAACTACAATAGCTGCAATCACTGCGTCCGCTTGGGCATCGGTTATGAGCTGTAGCACAGCTCGAGTGCGCGTGCGCGACCAGATGATCTTCCTTCAGCCCTCTTCAAATTCGGAGGCTCTGCTCTTGTTGATGCTTTACATGAATTACTAGTGAAACTGTGGGAGCAGGAGACTGTCCCAACCGACTGGAGCCGCTCCGTTATTGTTCCCATCTTCAAAGGAGGCTCACGTTCGGAATGAGGCAACCATAGAGGGATCAGTCTGATCTCCACTGCCACCAAATTACTCACTTTCATAATTCTTCACAGACTGAGTGGTGCTCGTGAAAGCCAGGTTCGTGAGGAGCAAGCCGAGTTTCGTCGGGGTCGTGGCTGCATCGACCACATCTCCACCTTGCGTCAGTTGTTAGAGCACCATCACACATATTGGCGGCCCACCGTTGTCGTGTTCTTCGACATCAAAGGTGCCTTCGATTCGGTTGTTCGATGTGCCCTTTGGAATTGTCTACTCAGGAAAGGTGTGCCCGAGAAATATGTAAATATTATCCAAGCATTATACGTGCGTAGCACGGGCAGAGTGATGGCTTATAGCAGGCTGTCGCCACCCTTCAATATCTCCAGCGGTGTGAGACAAGGATGCCCGCTGTCACCTTTCCTATTCAACTTCGCTATTGACGAAGTCATGGAGATTGTATTTACAGGACATGACTTGGAAGGTGTGGAACTACTCCCAGGAGAATGACTTCTTGACTTGGAGTATGCAGACGACATTGACAGCTCCCAGACGTGCCAAACCGCGCTGGACAGATTAGCACTGGCTGTCAGGCGCTTCGGGCTCTGCTTTGCGCCATCGAAATGCAAAGCGTTCCTCCAAGATCGGCAGGGATCGCCTCCTGCGCCGACCCTTGGCGGGGATCAGCTAGAAGTCGTTCGGAAATTCAACTATCTGGGAAGTTGTATCAGCGCCCTTGGGATCGAAGACGAGATCACGAACCGTTTAGCAAAAGCTCGAAGTGCTTTAGATCAGCAGACATAAAGAGGCTAGTTACGTTCGACCATCGGTGCCTTCGCAGTTTGGCTCACATCTGGTGGGAACACCGCGTGAGTAACGAGCGCGTTCGATGCCTTGTTTACTGCCCAGGAAAAAGAAATGAACCGCTCAGCACCGTCATTTCAAGCACCAGGCTCCGATGGCTGGGCCACGTGTTGCGCATGACAGCCCACCGGTTTCCACGACGTGCGTTGTTTGTTCACCGAGGATGTGGATGGAAGAAGAGGAGGGGTGGCCAAGCGATGACTTGGTCCAGAGGAATGAAGGCCCTCACTTCGGAGCTGGCATCGGTTAGAGCGTCACGGCTTTCTGATTGGGGTCCAAAAGACGGTGAACACGTTTGGCTCCATACACTTGCTGACCTCATTGGCATTCCTGCTGTGAGTTTCTTTGTCCCTCCCCGTCCCTTTTAGCATCCCCTCCACCTACCATCTCATTTCGTAGCGCAAACATAATAATGTTTCTTTTTGCCTAGCAGCCGGCTGGTAGCTTACCGGAACGATGCCTATCTGTTGCTGGTAATTCAGCTGGCATGCAAATATTGTATTTATTTTCGTTTTTGTTTAAGTATTGCGGCACAGTAGCTGAGGTGTTTCCCACCTCTAGCTGACGTGTATGATGATAATGATGATGATCGAGTGCGCGTACAGAGGCCAATACTATCATCAAACCCTGGGGAAATTGTTTGATGCTGC